CCAATACATATGAGGGTGGGGGAAAGGGATTGTTAGTAATGGAGACTAAGAATCCCATTGCTAGCAATATATCCAACCAGGTCGACCTCCTCGTGGTTCCCCATGGAAACTATCATGATTAATTCCAGATGAATTCATCATGATGGGCTAACCGGTCTGTTTTCATTCTCATCTATCACCCTTCACTGGAGCTCCGCCAGCATATCCCGTTAGCGCAGGTGGGGTTACCATTCTATTAAAATCCATTAAAAAAAATACATATGAGTGCATAGGTATAACATTAAATATGTAGGCTACCAACCTCTTTCAAACCTATATAGTGACAGAAAAATAAATAGTGACGTTCTTGACAATCTCCTTGTCTTAGCAAATTTTACGGAACTATATATTGTATCGCGACTTATTTTATCTGGATTTATTTACTGTAAATATTATTCATTATACAATCTCGTACTAAATCTTTCTTTCTTTCACTCCTTCTGAATTTATATATATAAATATCATCAAGCCCACATCTCTACATTTCTACACTGGTGACCCCGACGTGATCATTTTCATTCATCGATTTTTGGAAGAAAAAATGACGGAGAGCGGCACCGTTTCCACAGTACGAGACGACACGTCATCAGAGGTATTTAAAGTCGCAATTAAAGTTCCACCATTTTGGCCAGAAGAGCCAGAGATATGGTTTGCTCAAGTCGAGGGCCAATTTGCTATTTCAAAAATTACTAGCGATCTAACAAAATTTAATTATGTAATCGGACAACTCGACCATCAATTTTCTAAAGAAGTTAAAGACATTATTATCAGTCCGCCAGCAGAGGGAAAGTATGAAAAGCTTAAATCGGAGTTGGTTAAGCGCCTCAGTGCATCCAAAGAGAAGAAGGTGAATCAACTGCTAATGCACGAGGAGCTAGGCGACCGCAAGCCTTCGCAATTTTTAAGGCATTTGCAGAGCTTAGCCGGACCAAAGGTACCAGATGAATTTCTTCAAACAATTTGGACCAGCCGTCTTCCTGCTCATATTCAGACCATCCTTGTGGCACAACCTAACGCAGATTTAGAGGTGTTAGCGGATCTAGCAGATAGAATTATGGATCTCGCACCACGTTCACCTCAAGTTGAAGCGACAGCTCGTGATGATGCAGCTGCAGGACCAAGTTCTAGCAATCATATGGCGAATGAAATAGCGGAGTTGCGCAAGCAAGTAAAGTCACTTACCATGCAACTAAATCGTCGCCAGCGCTCCAGATCTAGGAAGCCTCAACGTAGCCGATCAGCATCAAGGTCTCATTCTAATTATAAGAAATTTCCCGTTTGTTGGTATCACCATAAGTTTGGCAGTAAAGCTAACAATTGTATCAAGCCATGCGATTACAATCAGGAAAACTAACAAGGCAATCGATAGCGGCGACCAGCGATTGCCCAACCTCCTGTAGTCGCCTTTTTGTTATGGATCGGAATACAAAGACTCAGTTTCTCGTCGACACCGGAAGCGATCTCTGCGTCTTTCCACGATCACTACTACGACAACGTCGGCTCAAGACCAACTATCAACTGCGTGCTGCTAATGGTAGCGTCATCGATACCTACGGTTACGCACATTTAAACCTAGACTTAGGACTACGTAGACAGTTTCCATGGCGTTTTGTAGTCGCTGATGTAACAAAGTGTATTATAGGTGTAGATTTTTTATCCTTTTACAATTTAATGGTTGACTGTCGCAATCAACGTTTAGTAGATAATACCACTACACTCACTGCTACAGCTTCACTTTCACATCCATCCAACACAATACAGTCTGTAAAAGTTTTGATAGGTGATTCTAAATTTCATAATATTTTAATTGATTTTCCTGAAATTACACGACCAGCCGGGGTACATAGGACTATTTCACACAACACAGTTCATCACATACGCACAACACCTGGCCCACCCGTACATTGCAATCCCCGGCGTCTTGCTCCGGACAAGTTGAAAATTGCCAAACAAGAGTTTGAGTCCATGTTAGCTAATGGCACAGCTAGGCCTTCAGAGAGTCCGTGGGCATCGCCATTACATTTAGCTCCGAAAAAAGATAACGGTTGGCGTCCTTGCGGAGATTACCGTATGCTAAATGCACGGACGATTCCTGATAGGTATCCGATTAGACATATTCATGATTTTACTCATTCCATTTCTGGATGTAAAGTGTTTTCTACTATTGATCTTGTTAAAGCCTATAATCAAATACCCGTAAGTGTTCAGGACATACCGAAGACTGCCATTACAACCCCATTTGGTCTATACGAATTTCCGTATATGACCTTTGGTTTAAGAAATGCAGGTCAAACTTTTCAAAGATTTGTTGATGAGGTGACTAGGGGATTGGATTTCTGTTACTGTTATTTGGACGATTTCCTCATTTTCTCTAAATCTGAAGCTGAACATGAGCAGCATTTACGTATTGTCTTTGCCAGGATGAAAGAATACAATATTGTAATTAATACTGCAAAATCGGTCTTTGGCGTATCGGAAGTAACCTTTTTAGGCTATCGAATTTCCGAAAAAGGTACTAGGTCCCTGGATACTAAAGTGCAGGCGATCAAGGACTTTCCTCCACCAAAAGATGTAAGGCAGCTTAGAAGGTTTTTGGGCATGATAAATTTTTATAGGCGTTTTCTGCCTCATGCTGCTCAAATCCAGGCTCCTCTTAATTCTCTTTTGGCAGGTTCAGTTAAAGGCTCTAGTCCTATTAATTTAACTGGAGACACATTAAAAGCCTTTGAAGCCTGTAAAGAAAGTCTCTCGAACGCTGCACTGTTAGCTCATCCAGATTGTGAATGTAAGCTAGCTTTAGTCACAGACGCCTCTGATACAGCTATTGGTGCAGTACTTCAACAATTTAAGAATGGTGCATGGGAACCTTTAGCATTCTTTTCCCAGAAACTCAGCCCTTCTCAACAAAAGTACTCACCATATGACCGAGAGTTATTGGCAATTTATGATGCAATAAAATACTTTCGTCATATGCTTGAGGCTAGACATTTTACAGTCTATACTGACCATAAACCGATCAGTTTCGCTTTCCATGAACGGAAAGCCAACTGTTCGCCTAGGCAGTATAGACATAGATTACATTTCCCAGTTTACCACTGACATTCGTCATATTTCGGGTAAAAATAATGTTGTGGCTGATACATTATCACGTGTTGATGAATTGCAAATTCCAGTCAGTTTGAAAGCCATAGCTGAAGCACAGGAAACTGATCCTGAATTATCTCATTATCTAGACGAACCAAACTCTTTATGTCTAGAGAAACGAGAATTACCTGGGAGTTGTATCTCATTGTACTGTGATATCAGTACAACAACTCCTAGACCATTTGTTCCTAAAACCCTCAGAAAGGAAGTTTTTGACAGCCTTCATTCTCTGAGCCACCCCGGGTCTAACGCGTCTGCTAAAATGGTAGCTCAACGCTTTGTATGGCCCGGCATCAGAAAGGACTGCAGAGTGTGGGCTAAGTCTTGTCTAGCTTGTCAGCGATCTAAAGTAAGTCGTCACGTGTCTGCTCCGTTGGGCACTTACGACTTACCTCGAGCACGATTTAAGGTAGTGCATATTGACCTTGTCGGTCCCATGCCTCTGTCTCAGGGATATCGGTATTGTCTCACTGCCATCGACCGTTTTACAAGGTGGCCTGAAGCAATACCGATAACCGATATTTCAGCTGAAACTGTCGCCAAGGCTTTACTTTCAGGCTGGATTTCTAGATTTGGCTGTCCTGAGCAAATTGTTACGGACCGTGGCCGCCAATTTGAATCGGCGCTGTTCGAACAATTATCTCAGATTACAGGGTTCGAACACAAACGAACTACAGCCTACCATCCAGCGTCTAACGGCCTTGTTGAAAGATTTCACAGGCAGCTTAAGACTTCCATCATGTGTCATGCGAATAGTACTTGGACGGAATCTCTTCCGTGGGTACTATTGGGCATACGAAGTTCTTTTAAAGAGGACTTACAAGCTTCTTCAGCAAACCTATGGAGAACCTTTAAGACTTCCAGGCGAATTTTTCGACCGCCATTTGAAGGTTCTACTGATGTCACTAATTTTATGGCTCGTTTACGTTTATTCGCCAATAAAATCAAACCTGTTGCTGCTTCTCGTCATAGAAGTGACAAAATATTTATTTTCAAAGATCTTGCCACTACCAATTATGTATTCCTTCGCGAAGACGCATTGCGTAGTTCTCTCCAACCAGCGTATACAGGACCTTATCTTGTATTGCTCAGAGGTGACAAAACCTTTAAATTGCTAATCAAAGGTAAAGAAGTCACTGTTTCTATAGATAGGTTGAAACCTGCCTACATTTTAAACGATCACACCACACTTAACAACCAAGACACGAACCATCCTGTAGCTAGGACTACTCGTTCTGGACGTCGTGTCCGATTTCCAGATTTCTATCGCCCTTAACCAGGTCTCATGGGGGGGAGTGATGTAGGCTACCAACCTCTTTCAAACCTATATAGTGACAGAAAAATAAATAGTGACGTTCTTGACAATCTCCTTGTCTTAGCAAATTTTACGGAACTATATATTGTATCGCGACTTATTTTATCTGGATTTATTTACTGTAAATATTATTCATTATACAATCTCGTACCAAGTCTTTCTTTCTCTTACTCCTTCTGAATTTATATATATAAATATCATCAAGCCCACATCTCTACATTTCTACACATCTCTACATCTCTACAAATACATTTGCCCTTTGAAGTAACATTAGCTGTACTCGTATAATAAAATTTGTCAAGTAGACAGTTTTAATTTATTCTACCAAATAAATAATTATTTTTATGTTTATAAGCGATGACTACCACTTTTCATCAGATGGGTACGATAGCTTGTTTGCAATTCTGAATAATATAAATATATAAGGATATATAAAATATACAAACTCTATAAAATGTATATAAATATTTGTGTATTGATGAAATAATAATTAAGTTCATACCTACAAGGAGCGTCATGCACGCTGCAGATATCTTGTCTAGTAATAAGGATGGCAACGTCGTGATGGTGTGGGTCGCTGTCACTATAGGGATTCTGCAGTTGTTGCCAGTAACAAAACGATGCTAAGGTTATATCTGCATTCGACGACACCGATAGTTTCGGCTTTGTTTCTTCCTCTTCAATAAGAATTATTTTCACAACAACAACTTTAATGTAGTTTCCAATAGTTGGATCCATATAAAGTGATGACACCTGCACAAGAGAGACATCTTTAATTTGATAAACAAGTGTAGTGTGAAATAAAATGAAATTAATTTAACACATAGCTTACCATGTTCATTATAGTAAGTAGATACTCCTCTAGTTTATTTTTCTCGTGAAAATCTGTCATGGACTTATCGGCGACAAGCAGCACCTCAACATGTCTAGGTTTACTGACGGACCGTGTAGTACGCCTCGTTTCTTCCCAATAACGTCGACGTGAATGTGTACGCTGCTGATATCGGTTGAGGTCCTAAAATATTTTTGTAATATTAAGAAGACTATTTCTCAAAGATTAAAATTTATAAAAACCGCTTAAGAGGCGTATATGAATATTAATAAGTGAGTACTTCCTCTGTATATTAGAATAAGCAGTTTGTGCTATATCAGCAGATTTATTTAATAATAGTACCTTGAGTGAATTTGATTTATGTTCTTCGATTTCATGCCTTTGCAAATTTTTAGTTTTCCATTGATAAGGTGGTTGTTTCGTTGCGCAGTTCTTTGATCGCCTATTTCTTCTTCGTCTATTCTTACGTCGTAATCTTGGTTCGTTTGTTGATTTATTTCGACTTTTATTTCTTATTACAGATAAAGGTCGTTCAAAAGACCTACTTGATTCTGAAGAATAACTTTTAGAATTGGTTTTTATCCTTCTTTGTTCCATTCGTAACCTAGACTGCTGTCTTCTATATTCAGTAGGATTTCGTCTTAAAGCTTCAAGTCGTTTTCGTCTTTCTTCTATTCCATTCATATAACTTCTTCTTCGCTGTTCCAAGGCTTGTTTGACTTCACTCTTTTTTCTTGAACGTTCATAGCTATTTTTATTATTCGAAACATTGGAATCTGACTGACTGTAGGCTTCTCTTTTCGTTCTATGATAAGCTTTGACTTTATCTACAGCAGATCTTTTAAATATTACGTGTGGTCTACCTGGAGAACCATCTGTGGAAGTTGTGTTTGAAGGCTCAATCCAATATTCTCCGTGTTCAGTTCGTAAAAGTCCTGCCTGTGAACAAATGATATGTATTATATTAAATTTGTTAATTTAATAATAATAAAAAAATATAAATAAATATCGAATCATGTTATTAAAAAAAAACACCGGCTACCTTAAAAAAACGATATAATTATTATTGTGCTAATATTGTTAATATTAAGTGCTATTATTTATGAATTATATATAAAAATATATTTATTATCTTTTTTTTCTATTTTATTTACGTATTAAACACTAAGTAAAAATTTTCATTGCGGACACGATATTTCACAGTCATTTTGATTGTGAAATATCGTGTCCTTGTAATTTAAACTAACTATTCAGTCACTCTCAAAATAATATTTTAAACTATTTAAAATAAAAGCAAATTTCATAGCTTCGCTTATGGAAACTCGATATTTACAATTCCTATAGGTATTTCTAAAAACGTATCTCAGTGAATGTCTATATATTTTTGAAGAAAGTAAAAAAAAATATATATTTTGTATATAAAGCAAAAAGTACTCAGCGCAGAAATTCCCCGATTACAATAATTCATTGTTTTTAACAAGAAATTTTGTTTTTTAAATTAAAAAATTAAGTTTAATAGGTTAGTAAATTTGAAGAAACTTATTAAAATAGGTTCTTTGTTGGTGATGATGTACACTATCGAAATGAAAACCTCCTCTTCCCTTAATGATACCATTTTATAAGTTCTTATACATTAACAACCTACTTATACTATTAATAAATCACAAGGCACTTTAGTAATAGTTGTTTCAAGTTAACCCTTCTTTGTATAATGTGTGGAAATTTCCATCATAACATTGAGTGCCCAAAAATTATATAAAAGAACAATTTCACTTTAATTTCATCGTGTCTTTTTTAATGTCCATTGTAGAAAATAAAACACAGCTGTTAATTTTTTTTTTCATTTTCTTTTAATTTTGAGCATGAATTATATCACCTTGTTAAAATTCCAGACACATTATCATATTGAAGACTAGGCAGCATGGTCTCCGACCTTAGCCTGTTCCACAACGGAACAAACATACTTAAAAAAAATATAAATCACCTTGATTTATTTCACCAATAAAAAAAATCATGCAAAGAAGGGTTAAGTACATAAGATAAAGTTGTCAAATATAGTTAAGAACAAGGAATTACAAAATCTTTGCGTAAAACAAGATAGTCAACTATTCTAATAGGTCCTCTACTTATAAAATAGGTAATATTCGTTTGTATACTGTTTCTTACTTATTATTATTATTTAAGTACATATACATATATTTTTAATAAAAAAAAAATTAAAAGCAAAATTATATTGTGAAATATAGTGGCTAATGAACAAAGTAAAATTACGTGACAAGACGTCCATTGAGTGGCAAACCGGTTTATTGAGCAGTGGGTCAACTATTCTAGTCGTCGTTTGTTTGTTGGCGGTACTACCTAGATAAATTGATTGATAACGAACCAGAGGCGGCTATGCGCAAAATTTTATGGAAACTATTCGATCTGAACTGAGATCTCGATAGGATTATTGCTACGAGATATATATGTCCCGCTATGATTATTGATTAACAATCATAATTTTAGATGTATATATGTGCTTATTATTAGGATATAAAATATTTAGGAAAAGGTAAATTCTATCTATTCAAATATAGAATAATAATGTTGTAGGAATAAGAGTGAAATAGATAAATACCAAGCGTTAGTTTGTTTCACACACGGATATTTCATACGTAATATTTTAATAAAATAACCACTGGAAACAACTATCTCTTATATAGCGGAAGTAATATTGGCCATTATAAAATAAAATTTAAGATAAAGTCCATCGATAGCAAAGAAAGTTATTAAAATCGAAATACATTTTGAAGTCAATGAAATCATCTTCTTTCTTGTCTTCATTTCATATATGGGGTTTACGAAGTAATATGTTTTTCTCTTCGATTTCGAAACAAGCTGACGGCTTACTTGATGGAAAGTGGTAACCGTCGCCTATAGTCATAAGCAGTATCATGGACATAACTTTTGTAACTATACAAACATATTCCTTCCTTAAAACGCTCTATTCCTCTTCACTCCTATTATTATTGGAGAAGATTAAGGAAACAACATTTAGGTAAACAACTACCTAATCAATATTTAAACTATAACTGATACTATTTTTAAAACTTATGTTAATTTTTTAACGATATAACGGGAACTTTTTTACCAATTGTCGGAGACATAAAGCATTCATTCCCGTTAGATATATGTGTAAATATCATAATTAATCATTGTGCATACATAGGATTATTAACTTCAGATTAACAGGTATAAGTATAATTAGAATCTAGAGGATATTACAAGATCTGATAAATAGATTGCAGTGTAGTGTATGTAATTATCTAGCAGTTAGCACAAAGCGGGCTAGCCTGTATGTCGCCGGCGGCCTTGTGAGACCGGCCACGAAAGCTGTAGGTATTGACTACGCAATATTTTAATAATAATTAATTAATTAATTGATAATTAATAGCCAATTTCTTGTTACCAAAGCGACCAACTGTAGGTACACCTGCCTAATATTAAAATCATATGTGGCGTTAACATTTAATATTATAATAAGTAATTATGAATAGGAATAGCTAATCAAAACATATTAGTAGGTATTAATTCTCTATACTGTCACGACTCATTCTAAATTTAGAATGATTAGGTATGATAATTATGATCTGTCCACTTATTATATAATGGTAATTTTTGCAATTATATTTTTATTAGATACTTAAACATGCGTGTACTCAGATGTCGTCATTTAATATCTTTTTCTATACTTATAATAAATCTGTAGAGAGGTCAATTCTGTATATGAAATATATTTCCAAAATAACTATCAGGGGTTGCTTAGTGATCGATACTGATACCAAAAATGCAATCAGTAAAATTTTTGTCTGTCTGTCTGTCTGTATGTTCGTTATAGAAACAAAAACTACTCGACGGATTTTAACGAAACTTGGTACAATTATTCTTCATATTATAGTTTCTTCACATTATAGTATATTTTTCATCACGCTACGACCAATAGGAGCAGAGCAGTGAAGGAAAATGTGTCTGTTACATCAAAACCACTGAACCGTGAGGAAGGACATAGGCTACTTATTTTGCGAAAAACGACGGAAACGCGGACGAAGTCGCAGGCAACAGCTAGTATTTAATATAATAATAAGTAAATGAGTAATGACTAAGAAAGTTACATTCGTATAGGACTGTTACTACTTTCATTTTAATAAGGATTTTGGGAGATGTGTTCATTTCTAATCATATAAAATGTTTTTTTTTAATTCTGATTTTTACAATTTTAATAAAATTATCACTATCATCATATTATCCGGTAATTGTCTAATGTTGAACATAGGTCTTCCCCTGTTGGGAGGTTTTGCCAGTTGTTGCCACGATTGGCAAGTGGGTTAGCAACCGCAGCCGGGTTTTGGTGATGTTTTAAGAGAGAAATTGATGCCCATCCCTCTACCATAAGAACCACGGGAAAAAAGGGTCATTAGACCATTCCACGTTAGTAACACACGGTGATTGATGAAATAACGAAAATTAGTTTAAAATTGACAAAGACAAAAAAAAAAAAATAAAACCTCTTTCTCTTTCGGTAAATAATAATTAACACTAATATGGATAAAAACGAATTACTAACTCTTCATAGAGACAATTCGATTTCTATATCTATGGTGCTCACATAGAAAGTGAATGTAAATATCACGGATATTTCCACACGAAGCTTCCAACAGGTGCCTCCTCGGTCAAGTGGATCTTATGTGCTTTCGGCAGTGAATTAATATTTGAGATGTTTCAATTCATTATAATGAGCAACCACCTTTAATACCGGTTTTGAGTTAATAAGTACTATGTAGTAGTAGTACATTTCTTAGTGGCATAGCTTATTAATAAAATAAAACTGCTTCGCCTTTCTACAGTTGCTCGCATCTTCGTCAAATTAAACTATTTCTATTTATTCACATGAATTAGTTGCAACAAGAGTAAACTTTAAAATAAACAATAAAATCAATATAGATGAATGCAAACGATTGTTTATATTACACCGGTATTTTCTAGTTATTATTTCAATATATTCACATAAAAATGTACGTAATTATCAGTTATCTAGCACAAAATCATATAGGATAAGTTCTATTGGTGAGTGGATGCGAAATCGCTTAATTTAAGATTAAATGGTGCTGTCATAGTTCATTGTCATAGTTCCAGAGTTATTTATATTATTTATTTACAGCTCATATTACGAGTATTATTATAATTTAAGCCAAAATTCCCAAACTGCCAAAATAAAAAAAGAACTTTTTCCACAATCTACCTTTACCTATGCAGACGGAATAATACTAAAAAAAGATTACAAACTGAGATAAACCTACCTACCGATTATAGTGTTGCAATGGATATAGAATGTTAATAAAATAAAAGAAGTAATATGATTAATATATCTTGTGGGTCTTGATGGGCATGAAATTAAATATAATTGTTAATTAATGGACGTCTTTCAAAGAATTAATAGCTCGGGTATTCCTAGAGGCCTAGGGATTGGCAGACATATTTGAGACTTGATAAAGTTAATTTGTGTTGCCTGTTTTTTTCGGCTTAGTCTATTTATGGAAATAAGTGGCAAATTAAAACAACAATAAACAATGTATCCTATGTCTATATGTCATAATGTCTATAAAAGGTCTATTTACCTAAATAATTATATATGTTTTATATTTCTCTTATAGTTCATATTGTATGTTTAAATGAGATATAACAATCAATATGTCAGTTTCAATATAATGTGACATAAAGCTTGAAAATATTTATTTCATGTGAAATGATATAATGATGATAGAGCGTATATGGAATACTTGAAATTAAACTTCCAACTTATGACAACATTTTTAAAAAATATTTATAGTATAGGTATATTATATGTATGTTTATATACAGGTATATTTATAGTAGGTATGTTTGAGTGTATACAAATAATAATAACAATTCAGGCATTTAAACAAACTTTCACATTTATAATATTAGTAGAATATCAGCCAGAAGTGAAGTGTTCTACTGATACGGGCTAGTCCCACTGCCAGATTACCGCGCTAAAAGCGCATTGACTTCGCGACCTTGACATTGTAGAGCATTTGTTTACTCGTTTTAAAACTCGGCTATTAATTGAATAAACAAATTATCTAATGTTTTTTTTTAATAAATATTTCTTTTTACTTTGTTTTCACTGTAATGTATTGAAGATTACTATTAAGGTATATTTATATTTGGTATATACAATATATGTAAAATAACTATAATGATTTAAATATACATAATAATTTGTTCAGGAAAAATATAGAATACATATTATTAATGTTTACTATATTATTTTTAGGTGATTTAGTAAGATTTGTATTTAATAAAAGCTTTATTACAATATGACTTCGCAGACAAATGTCTAAAACGGCAAGTTAATATAATTATATTCTCATAATATACTATAGTTTAATCACGATCAGGTTAATATATGGACTACGACCTTTATAAAAAAAATAATACAAATAATATTAAAATTTTTTGACATACCTTTCCATTTCTTAGGTTCTAATTAAGTAAAATCTTGTTAAAAAGTCTACTTTAAAATTTTCTATACTTTTATATTAGAATATAATAATACCAACCTAAGTAATCATGTGCTTCCAGTACAACTAATTATATATGTTAAAAATTAGGTAAAACAATAATATAATAAAGCTATTACTTTTGTAAAAGCTTTCAATAAATAATCAATAATGTAAATAATTTTGGTTAATAACATAACAATTTGTAGAGATAGAGATTCCATAAATACATAACCAACTCGTTCTTGGCTGGTTTTTTATTGTGCCCATTGATTGGGTACGAATTTCACGGAACGGCCGGGCGATGCCAAAATTCTCGACGGTTTGTATTATAATTAATTCCTTTATCATGATCAAATGCCATTTAGCAATATTTGTTTCAAACGAATAATAAAAATGATACGCCTACATGCACCTTCAGTGTTTTTTGTAATGAACTATTTATTTTATTTTGCCATGATCGATCACTGACGTCTTCTTAAACGCGCCACTGTTAATTAATACTTATACTTATGTCAAAACATGAAACTAGAAGACATAGATAAGTTACGCCCACTTTTGTATAATTTATGACCTAGACATTATATGATTTATGCAAATATTTTGCATTTTATCTAACTTATTCGTCATATTGAAGGTCAAATACTTATATACCAATACATATATAGCATTGATAACTCTAATTGAGCGTGTAGGTAGTGACAATTAGAGTTCATGTTACTCTTAGACGTTTATATATAGTTTTCCAGCTATAAAAAAAAAAAAACTAGTGGCTAGTCATGCCAATAATGTATACTTATATTACTTGAAACTCCCTTCCATTCATTTTAATGGCTCTAGTCTTTTGATCTCTATTTTGCTAATATTTTTTGCTTTAAAGTAATACCTATATAACCTCTTTTTTGAGGTCATTAAAAATTTAAATTTTTTATTTTTAATAAATATTAATATTTCCGATATTTAAATTTATTCTTGATTAAGTATGTAGCTATATCAATAAATTTACTTTGCCGAATTGCAGCATAAATTGTATCGTTATAAATAACTATTTACATTTATCATAAATTGTATCTCAAAGTATAGATTGTCAGTTGGGTGTGGCAATAATCGGAAATCAATTAACTGTGCGCAAGTTTGCGAAATAGCACTCTCGACAAACGTTTCTAAATCGGTTTCACTTTTACCGGCGCATCGTATCTCACTTCTTTGACTAGAATCAACATAATGGTAAGTACTGGCACAGAAATCACTTTCCTTAACCAGATCTTTATCCAGATATGTATTTTCTTAGAAAAGTAGGTTTCTAATAACACTTAAATTTTCATAAACCGACTTTATTATTTTTTAATCAAATGATATAATTCGTTCTGTGTGCCGTAAAGACTACTTGCAAGACTAACATATTTTTATGCTATTTTTATAGATAGATATTGAATTTATCTTAATGAAGTTATTGATGAAATATACGCTTAGTTACTGTACTTATTCAAATTAGAAATCAAAGTATATAGATAAATTTTTGTAATGTAATGTTATACACAGTATAATTTCTTTAAGAATTAAATTTCAATATAATTGTTAGGTATAAATAAAGTTTAAACAACTTACAATTCCATCACAGGCGGATAGTGCCACACTGGAGTCGGGTTGTCCCCGTATAGATCCAGTATAGTGGCAGGCGGTTGCTGCAGCTTTCGGGACTTCTCGTGTACGGCCTTCCGCATGGTGCCGCTCTACGACTATTGTCGGCGTTATGAACGTTACTGACGGCCTGTATGGACAACAAAAAAAAAATTTTATATAATTGGAAATGGCAAACAAATAAAATCTCAGTGAATTTGTTATTAGTACTTGGCACTTTTAAGAAATATACTTCATACATAATAGGATTTATTCCTATATTGTAGCAAGTAGCTACTTTTACTCACAGCAAAAGTCTTCAATTATGACAGAGATATATTTAATAAATTGTTTTAGATAATATTCTGTTTATATGTATTTGATATAAAAGTAACCTTTAATGGAAAAAGATATTACGAGGATTTATAACCGGCTGAATATTTTTGAATTTTCATTATACTTTAAGGAAACTGGAAACCTATTGATATGATTAGATAAATCACTTGTACTCAGTCAACTATTGTTTTAAACTACCCTCTTTATTTTATTATTTTGTAATTATATTATGACACACATTGATTTGAAAATTTGTATAAATAGAAGAGTAAATGAATGAATAAAATAGGGAATGTTATTTTTAATTAAGTGCAATATTTTTTGCTTTATGGTAATTATATAATTTGATATGAACTATCGAAAATACAAGTTTTTATATTGCTTAATTTTTTTTTAACAGATTTGCTGTTGTATTTGTAATGATAGTATATTAATACATACTATGCCCTACACTAGCTTATTTCTACGGCTTTATCTGCAAGACGTAGGACATGCTTAGGTAATATATACATAGACTACGGTTGGTGCACTAAAAGGACGAAAGACAATTGTCTGACATAGTCTATGCTACATATAAATATAAAATCAAATTATAATGACTTGGACAAAGTTACAGGTAAAATCTAATATATATACTAATATATATATTAACAATATATTTTTACAATTTTAATTTCTGGTATAAAATAAATCCAAAATTCAACAATTGCATCACAAAGTCAAACATTACATCAATGTCATTTTGATTGAAGGTACCTTGAGCATATAAAGATCACTAAACAAGCGTAAAACATACGAGATTTCCTAATTACATTGTTTTGTTTGAAAATTTGTATTCGTATTAATTCCTTAACAGTTTAAACTACGATATACGTACTCATAATTCACAGAAATGAGGTTACAATCATAAAGAAACAAATTCGTTTGCTTATTTTATACCTTATAGTTTTCCTTATTGCTACTTTTGAATTTATAAAAAAACTAACGTAAAAATAACAAAAAACATTTTTGTGTTAGAAACTACTTAGCCGATTATTAACATACTCGTATTTTAATAACATCTTTTGCCCGTGGTTTCGTTTGTGGTTAAGTATAAGTAAAAGAAAATTTATTTAATCGAAGTCCGTGATTTTCTAAGAAGTATGAAATTTCTATTTGGTTACAAAAAGTACATTACGGTGTTTTTATATTTATTTGCACATTTATTTTATTTATATGCTCATTTATATATATTTGTATAGAATTTCAGCTTCTTCAATCCGTTAAAAAAAGGCGTTTTATTTAAGCATATTTTACTTTGATATTAAAACTGTATTTCTTGCGCCTCCTTGGGGAATAATTTTGGACATTTTGTATTTTTTATTTTATTACTTGGTTTCATTATTTCCATTATTACCTGTAGGTATGTATATTCAGTTTTCTTTTTTACATGATATATTATTATTTTAAATGTTTATACAAACGTACTATCCCTTCAGAACAAAAATTGCCACACCTTTTCTATTAAGGGGTAGAATATACCGAGGGGTGGAGAATATCATTACTAAGAGGTAAAATTTCCAAAAACTTTGAAACATACGTTTATCAGATTAGTTAAGAAACACAAATAGTATATTTCAAGAAGATTAGATCATTTTTTTATTATTTTTATACTAATGTTTCCACCTCATTTTTTTCGTTTGGTGTTTAATTTATAAAGTAGGGAAAATACGTACGTTCGTTAATAGCTGAAACAGCCATTTAATCGTGACTAACAACAAAATATATTTACAAATCACATTAATAAGATTAGATGACTATAAATAAATACTGAAAAATGTTAAAGTATCTAGTTATTTCAAAATATATGAGAGATCTAATCTTGAAGGTGCCTGTCTACCTATCTACCAATCAGTGTTTATTTTATTATTTCAGTACAAAATGCCGAACATTGAAAAATGTTCTGTCCGTAGCAATAAATTAAAGCTTCGGTTTACGCACATATCGGCCAAGGATCAGTCCGCTATGGCTTCGACCACTGTGTCAAGATTTATTGTATAGAGCTACGGTTGGTAACTTAGATATTGACTAACTGGCGAGATATTGTGTGGAATGCAACAATTTATTAAATAGAATTACAAAAAGAAATAATATATCGACCCTACGTTGTGATACTTGTAATTTTTCATTCCAATATAAAATAGATATTTTTACAACTTCTATTCGATTGTTTCTATACAAAGACGGACGGATTCTTTTATGTCGTTTCGAGAATAAGATATTATATTTTTTTCTGTCTGTCTGTCAAGTACATTTATAATTTTAACATCTATTATAAATCAAACTGTTACTTGTAGAAACTAACACCCACCCAATTTGGATAAATGAAATATCGACATGTAATGTAGTACAAAGATAGGTATGTTATATATTACAGTAAGTATATATATGAAGATCTTTGCTTTGCCATATGATTTATGAATAGAATATACAAATAGTATCTAGTATTGTTCGTTATATTTATCTTTAAGCCTTGAAGAAGGTAAGCACTGACGATTGGTAGCAAATAGCGGACGTAGTGGCGGCTAAAGTACACAGTGAACTGGTCAAGCCTCATTACGGCAATTAGCAGAAGTAAATATATGGCCGCCCTAGATAGGTACCGGTGATGGTGTGAGACTTGTGTCAGTCGCTACTATACACTAACGTATCTCGGCTCCTGCCTGCGTTATCATAAATTGAGATTGATTACTTTATTTATGAATGATTTTATTTTTTAAGCCCGTCAACTAACTTTTGGTTCAATTACACACACTCACCACAAAACTGTATGAGAAGATACTGAATAGGTATATTAAATTTTTACTTGATATTTTTTTCACGTTTTTACCCATATATTTATAATAAATATAAAAGTACTCTATGCATTATATGCACTATGAACATGGTCCTTTTGTGTAATAAATTTTATTGAAATTCATTCAACCATGACTGAATAACAAACATCTATACATGCAAATAATATTATTAGAATTAAAAGATATAGTGAGGAGCAATCTCTGTTTATGACACAGGAAATATTGTAAGTTTACTACTTTAAACCTACTTTCCTCGTGACCCCTATAATGGACAAGTAATTTATTTTAGACATTTGATTTTTATAGTCATTGTGAATCATGTAAACTAATACCACCCATTTTATCTACCACTCGGTAGTAAAACAGTTGAGTAAATTTGTAATTCCTAATAACGATTCAGGCTTATAATTTATTCTAAATTAACAGCCACTACTGTATGAAACATAATATGTATTATATATTCAAACAGATAATAACGAAAATCTCAAGAAGAAACATGTCATCAAACTTGTTTTTTCTAAATAAACCTTACGTAATTATTAGACGATTACAATTTCAATATTTAATAACAGTGAATCCTTCAGTGACTATTTCTGTTTTTGTTGATATTAAACTATCAACTTTTCCGACACAGAAATTTTTACTAGATTTTAAGTAGGCTCTTTAAGCTTATTAGGGCTGGAAATTAAATATACAAATAAAATATTGCAACTATATAACAGTATACAAACCATTATATAGTTGCAATATCTATTTAAATCCATGTGGTTTCAAATTGTGGATTACAAGACACATATTAAGAGTAAATAAATGTTTAAATAAACTCCACGGCATAAAATACTACGATTCATGTTTAAACAATTTCAATTCTCACAAATAAAACTACAAAACGTTCAAGAGTTGGATTTACTCCACTGGAAACTCTCCTGCTTCCAAACAGGTATTGCACGTCAAGTAGGTACGATACGTAGTTATACAGAAAGACACATGCAGCACTGTGGTTTGGGCTCTCTGCAGTGTGAATCCTTTATTTTATTATAACGTTTTATGAGTTCCTTGCCATGAGCAATGGCTTGTTGGACCGTGATATATATTAGAAACTAGACGCATAAAAAATATTTTTCTACGATATTTACCAAACAATTGATGTTGTCTTGAAATACGAGATATATATATTTTATAGTACTTAACTGCTAACTTTGTCAATTTAATAGATAGGTGTCGCCGAAGATGTTACTTATGCTGCTAAGTACGCTATTTAATACGAAATTATCAATTAAGTGTAATTATGAATTCTACAAGTAGTCTATACTTTAGGATTAGGAATAAAACGGCATGTTAAATATTGGTACTCGTAACTGCTCACATGTGGAGCCTGTAATCTCGCCTTCTTGTGGAAAAACACAAAATTCTTTTATGATTATTATTATTTTTCGCTCTCCACATTTGCATTTTTAAATTGTTTTGTAGACATTATTTTTTTGCATATGTGTTCGATATACACATATATTAACTTTTTTCCTAAATCAATCACATAACCATGCTATTTATTAGAAAGATTTATATTTTATTTATATTTTAGACCATATATCTCGGAGAAAGTTGTTCAGTTTTATAACTAATAGATATATGTGTTGATTTACAGATACACATTACAGCCATATATGACAAGTTGTTATACCAATTCTGTTACATCCTATATATTTATATAACACCGACCACCGATATTATCTCTTCTTATACAATTTAATTAACCGCTCTGCAAATTAACAAACCATTAATTTTGTCACAGAATAGGTCATCGCTTATTTTGTGCTAAGCATCTGCTACTTACTGATTGTAATCACAGTAGCGTTTACATAGAAGGAAACTTTAATCGTCTACGTAGTAATTAACATTTTAATGGGATAGCCATTTATGTTCCCTCATTATTTTAGGTAATTTTTATTTTATCATACGGTTTTATTTTTTATTATGC